AAAAACCGAAGCCGAGGCCCCTTGCCCGGCAGTCGCATTTTCGACCACTCTGCCAACGTAGCAGTTGTATTATTTATTATGTAATTTCAACTGTAAAATGTAAAATATATTTTGTATGTGAATTCACCTGATTGAAGTATGTTCCAAGTTCCTTTAGGAACAGATGATCCTTATAGGAACATCAGATCTCTTGACGACAACAAATAAAAAAAAATCCTTTACAATATCAAAATCCGAGATAAACGGGAAATACATTTGACATTGATTCTACATGCTCATGTGTAAAAACCAGTAATTACATCACTACATTTACCTTTGATTAGTGCGCTACAGATGTCACTGACGTCAGTTAATGGATCTCTTGATGGGATTTTAATGGATACCAATACAAAATCTTACAAAAGACCGGTAAAATTGCCGGTGACGATGTTTCAGCTCATGATTAAATAGAAATTTGATTTATTTGAAGGCTTATTTTGTTCATTTGTCACTTGTATAGCCTTGGTTCTGTTTGTTAAATATGTGATGTTCTGTGCAAACAAAAGGGCTCTTTAATAATATTGATTTTAGGTTCATAATTTGTCCAATTGAATTAATTTGTTTTGGTTTTCGTGATGATGATTCATGGTTAAATAGCGTAAAGTTAATAAGTGTTCTGGGCTACTTATACATATAATAAAACTGTAGAAGTGTAAATTCTGTACATTTATTTATTTATTTATTTATTTATTATTACTTCTTCACCAAAGATAACAGTGAATGGCGGACTTAATGCCTTAAGGCATTCTCTGACAGTCAACCATTGGGAAGTGCAGAGAAATGAAGTACATTGAAAATATAAAAAAAATAAATTTAAATACTATGGGGTATTACTAGATAGACAGTTTAAAACAATATTATAAAAGTAAGCCTCTTTAAGTGTGGGAGAGCCATGCTTCGGCACGAATGGGCCGGTTCGACCGGAGTGATACCACGGCCTCACAGAAAACCGACGTGAACGTAACGCTTGCGTTGTGTTTCGTCGTGTGAGTGAGGTTACCGGAGGCCCAATTACCCTCCCCTTCCCCAATCACCCCGATCCCTGAATCCTCAACGATTCTCAATCTCCTTATCTATAAAAAGCCGGTAACGCACTTTTAACGCTGATTGCTTACCATCAGGTGATCCGATTGCTCGTTTACCGGCTTATGCCAGAAGAAAAAAAGCTGTAACTGTAGGGCCGATGGTTGAAATTAGCTTGAACCGATATTATAAATATGAAAATATGTGCGTTTGTGTGTTTTTATTTATGTTTGATACTTAGTCACATCAAAATGGCTGAATATGGTATGGTAAATTGAAATTGAAACTCTAAAGTAATACATAGGCTACTTATTCCCCCAGGAATGCCGGCGAAACCGCCGGCAGAAGCTAGTCTTATCATAAATTGACCCATTAAGATAAGGTAAGATAATATTTATTTGCTTAATGAGTGACATTATATTTTTATATCAGATTCATGTACGTTTTTTGTAGGTAGATCAAAAAATCATATAAAACAAAGTCACGGTAATATGACAAAGTGATCGGGTACTACATGACAAGGCCCGGGATGTACTATGTATGTAATTATGTGTACTTAATTGTAGGTACATTCACATACAATCAACGAATACAAAACTAATCGAACGACTTAGATTGTCGCGGAGAACCTAACGGGTAACCGGGGCTCCGGCTCGACGTGCAGGAGAAGGAACGGGGTGGTTTTTAGTCAGTAAGAGTCTGACACTCCCTCCCGCCTCACCCAGGCGGGAGCAGTCATTCGATGA